CGTTTCCTTGATGATTAATACTGTTGACTATCTCTTCATAGGCTTATTGGCCATCTGTATATCTTCTTTAGAGAAATGTCTATTCAAGTTCTTTGCCCGTTTTAACATCAGATTTTTTGTTGTTGTTGAGTCCAGTGTAATTTGTTTGCTTTATAAGTTAGTGTGTGTGCACGTACGTGTGTGTGTGTGTGTGTCACTGTTGAGGATTTTTATGTTTATCACTGAAATCAAATAGTTCTGGGTGAATTTTCCTAGGTACCTAGTAGATCCTTTCAAAGTGTAAATTCAAGTCTTTTGGTCTTTTTCTATTTCTGGAAGTTTTTCAGGATTATAGTTTTAAATATTAGTTTTGTTTCACTGCTTTGTTTTTCTTTTCCAGGAACTTTGATAGTGTGAATATTATTCCTTCTTGGCCTATCTTTTTTAGTCAGCTTTTTTTTTTTCATTTCTCCCTTTTTTTTTTTTTTGGACGTTTTCTGTTCTTGATTTTTAAAAATAAATTTACGTTTAAAAAAATTGATTTGAGAGAGAGAAAGAAACACAGCACCTCAGTGTGAGAAACATGGATCATTCCCTCCTGCATGCGCCTGACCAGGGATTGAACCCACAACCTGGTTATGTGTCCTGACCAGGAATCGAATCTGCAGACTTTTGGTGTATAGGACCGACCATGCACTAACCAACTGAGCCACATCAACCAGGGCTATATACTTTTTTTTTTTTTTTTTTAATGTTTTTATTGATTTTGGAGAGAGAGGAAGGGACATGAAGTGAGAGAAACATTGATAGGTTGCCTCCTGCATGATTGAGCTGGAAACCTGGGCATGCATGCGCCCTGACCCGGAATTGAACATGTAACGTCTCTGCACAAGACCACGCTCAACCGACTGAGCCACACCGGCCAGGGCAGCCAGGGCTCTGTTCTTACTTTTTGAATTTCGGATTCAAAACACTTTTCTTAAATATCTTCAAATGCTTGAGTAAGTTTGGGGTGTGGCCTTATAGTTTTCTTCTTCTCCATGCTTATTTTTCTGGGTAAAATTTACCTTGGTTGATAGGTGTGGAATTTTGTTTGCTAGTGGTTACTATGAACTCTAGGAGGGTTTGTTAACTATTGTTGATATTTGTGGTGTAGGGGTGTTTTTGCAGATTCTGTGTAACGGTGCTCTCTTCCTGTTGGCATAGCAATGTGCAGATATTTTAGTTGATGTTTTATGTTTTGTGGTGATGTGGGGGAGTTTAGGATTCTCCTTTGTCTTTTAGGACTCTTGAATTTTTACCCCTTATTCCTTTCCCCTCTGATTACTAGATTACTAAAAGATGCTCTTCCACTTTTGTTTTTTGCCTCCCCGCACCGCACCCCAAACTCCTTCAAATTGCTTGGGTTTAAAGTCCCTTCCTGTAGTTAGTGCTCTAATCTACCTGAGTCCCTTTGTAGACTTTTCAGACTTAGAATGGCCTCCTTCTTTGTGATTTTGTTCTTGCTGTTGTTAGTTCTCACCCCTGGATATTTTTCCACTGCCTTTTTTGAGGGGGGTTCATGCTCACTTTTCCTTTTTTTTTTTTTTTTACAGTATTTTGTTTTATTTTTATTTTTTTATTCTCACCCGAGGATATCTTTTCATTTTTTGTTCAGATAGAGCGGGGGGGGGGGGGGGGAGTGGCTGCCACCCACATGACCCAACCAGGGCCGGGGACAAACTGCAACCGAGGTACATGCCCTTAGCGGGAACCGAACCTGGGACTCTCTGGTCCGCAGTTCAATGCTCTAACCGCTGAGCCAAACCGGCCAGAGCTTCCTTTTTTTTTTTTTAGAGAGAGTTGAAGGGAGAGGTGCGCGGGCTGGGGGGGGGGGGGGGAGAAATGCCAGTGTGAGAGAGACACATTGATTGGTTGCCTCCCACACAACCCTGACCAGGCTAGGGATTAAACCTGCAACCAGGTACACCCCCTTGACCAGAATCGAACCTGAGACCCTTCTATCTGCAGAGAGATACTCCAGTCCCTACGCCAAACCAGCTAGGGCTCCATTGATTTTTTTTTTTTTTTTTTTTTAATAGAGTGGAAGAGAGGGAGGGAAGGGGAGAGAGAGAGAAAGATTGGTGACTCTCAGCCAGGCTGGGGATGGAACCTGCAACCCAGGTCTGTGCCCTTGACAGGGAATCAAACCTGTAACCCTTAAGTGTGAGGCTGACACTCTAACTGCTGAGCCAGACTGGCTAGGGTATTTGTGATGGTTTTATGTTGAACCTATATAACATCACTTGCTTCCCTCCATCTTCTCTAAAATTTTTCTCAGTGAGCCCTGCAAGGTCAGGAGCATGAGACTCCAGCACTGGGAATGGGTGATTGTCCCTTTTTATTCCTAGTGATTTTGAAGTTAAGTTATGAGGGCTAAGGAAATGGTTTCTTTGTGTCATTTCCCTTCTTTTTGTTCTGTACTGTTTTGGGAGGAAATACTGGGAGTTGGGAACTATGTTTCAGCATTGTCTTTAATTAACCGTAAGTCCTACTGATTCTGGTTTATTTTCTAAATGCAGATATGAACATATTCTCAACACAAATGTATCTATGTGAAAACTATAAAAATGAGAAAGCAAACATGCTTGAATTGTTATTAGGATTAGATGAGGTCATTAGGATGGGACCCTCTTGATGGAATTAAATGGTTGAACATCGACCCATGCACTAAGAGGTCGCTGGTTCAATTCCCAGTCAGGACATATGCCTAGTTTGTGGGCCTGATCTCCAGTGGGTGGCATGCAGGAGGTGGCCAGTCGATGTTCTCTCTCATCGATGTTTCTCTCTCTCTCCTTCTCTCTCTAAAATCAATAAAGAAAAAAAAATTTTTTTAAAAAAAGAGAGAGAAGAGAAGACACCAGAAAGCTGCCCTTCTCTCTGTGCACACTCAGAAAGAAGTGTGTGAGCACACAGGAAAATGTTAGATGCACACAAACCAAGAGAAGGGGCCTCAGAATGAAACCGACTTTGCTAGAACCTTGACCTTGGACTTTGCAGCCTCTAGAACTATGGAATCTATTCTTAACATTTGGGGTATATTTCCTTTAAACAAATTTTTTTTTTTGGTGTTTAACAAGTGGATGGCACTTTAATATATATTTGTCATAATTTATTTACCCAGTCTTCTTTAAGAGATATTTTCACCTATCCATTTATTCACTATTATAAACAAAGCTGTGATGAGTAAAATACTAGTGTGAAAATATTTGCAAATAGCACTTACTGTTAATTCTAGTTAACTTATAGTGTCATAAGCAAAAGTAATTGGAGAAGGTGATATGTGACATGCTTGAAAAAGATTTTTATCAGTATCAATGTCCATGAAATGTTCTGTGTGTGGATAATGCTCACTCTCTGGTTAGGACAGTGCAGATGTCCTTGTGCATTCAAATGTGCAGCCGGAAGGGGAACTTAATTATGCTGCAGGGTGGGATCTGCCTTAATATCCCTTTAACATCACAGAAATGTAAAGAAACTGTCCTGCAGGCTATAATTTTTAGCATTGAAAATTGTTTATAATATAGTTCCCCCTCCCCAAGATTGAATTGTTCTGTAATTAGTGTTCAGGTTCTCCAAAAAAAGCATATTAATATACAATTGTAACTATAATCATATACAAACACTGAGGTGGAAGGAATTTTCTAATATATTAATGTTTTTTACCAGAAATTATGTTTTCTGTTGTTCTTTTTCAAAATTATTGACCTTTTCATTCACAAGAGATGTGAAAGATGCCATCTTAACCACTAAATAAATTCACACACAACATCATCCTTCCATGTGGGCATGTTACTCTGGGAACAGATTTTTAGAATACATACCCCTAAGGATAGTAAACTTAATGTTCCATATTTTTTATTTAGCTATAATTGACATATTTTTTCAGGTGTAGTACAAGTGATTTAATATTTGTATGTATTGCAAAGTGATCTCCACAATAAGTCTAGTTAACATCCACCAGAATAGTTACAAAAGTTTTTATTTTTTAATTTTTGAAAAATTTATTTGTTGAGTTTTAGAGAGAGAGAAGGTGGGTGGGGAGAAGCATCAATTTGTTATTCCCTTTACTTATGCGTTCATTGGATGGTTTTTGTATGTGCCCTTACTAGGGATCAAACCTGCAACCCAGGCATATCAGGATGGCGCTCTAGCAAAGAAAGCTACCTGGCCAGGGCAAACGTTTTGTTTTCCTGTGATGAAAACTTGTAAGATTTCTCTTAGCAACTTTTAGATATACAACACAATATTATTAATTATAGTCACCATGTTGTATATTACATCCCTATAACGTATTTTATAGCCGGGAGCTTGTAATTTTTTTTTTTTTATCCTCACCCGAGGACATTTTTCCATTTTTTGTAGGACATTTTTCCATTTTTTGTTCAGGTAGAGTTGGGGGGGGGAGAGAGGAACAGAGAGAGAGAGAGAAACATCGATGTGAAAGGAACACATCGAGTGGCTGCCACCCGCACAACCGACCAGGGCCGGGGACAAACTGCAACCGAGGTACGCGCCCTTAGCGGGAACCAAACCCGGGTCTCTCAGGACCGCAGGCCGACGCTCCAACCGCTGAGCCAAACCGGCCAGGGCGGGAGTTTGTAATTTTAACCGCCTTTACCCATTTCACCCATCCCCATGCATATTTTTAACCGTGAATATAACTGAATGAGAATTGTACTTTACAGTATTTAGAACTGTCTTCTAGGCCTTAAATGTCATAGCCCTTTGATTCAAGATCAGAGAGTTACTGAAACATACTGTTTTTTCTAAAGTGATTAGATTGGACTACATCTGCATTTAGCCATGCCTTAATACCTGTGATTCTGTAAATTTTAGCTAAGCACTCAGCATTCAATATAGAAGTATGTTTAATTTCTCCTCCTTCTTAATTATTCTTTTCCTTTCATATATAGCTTTGTGTCATACTTTTTAGAAGATTCTATTGAATTTTTAACCATTTTTTATAACCTTTCCCTGAGGTATTCCCATCTGTCAACAACACTTAATTTGGAATAACATGGAACTCGAAGATGATTATTGCTTGAATGATTACAAGTGAGTGTAATTGCATAGTAGCTGTTTTATAGATGCTCAGTATTACGACTTCATATACTATTGTCTTTCTTCTTAATCCTTGGATCACGTCTATTCTTCTGAATAGTACTGTTTCCTAGATTTCAGTGTAAATCCTGAACTAAATAAACTGACGAACAAAATAGAAAGAGGCATGGGTACATGGAACAGACTGGCAGCTGTTAGAGGAGAAGGGGAGGGGGACTGGATGAAAGAAGGTGAAGGGATTAGCCCCAAACATATATACGTCACACATAGACACAGGCAACAGTGTGGTGATAGAGGGAAATGGGGGTGGGAGGTAGGTGGAGGTGGGCAAAGGGGGAGAAAGTGGGGATGGAAAGAGACTTTGCTTGGAGCGATGGCTACACGACGCAGTTTGCAGATGATGTATTATTGAGTTATACACTTGAAACCTATATAGTTTTGGGAACCAGCGTCATCCCTATAAATTCTATAAATTCACTTAAAAAAAAAAATGTGTTGGCTCAGTACTCCATATTGCCTGATCCTTGTCCTTTGAATCTTTGTTTTACCTTTTCCTTATTCACCCTAAGCTATTTGTCTCCTTCCTTTTTAGATCTTTCTCTTCTGATCTTGTGTTCTTCGCTTCTTTATTTGAATATTGACCCCATTCCCACCTGGCTTGGTTGCTTTTCTTCCATTTTGCAGTATTGGGTGAGAGAGCATTGTTCTTCACCAAGTCTTTCATTTTTCATTAAGCCCTTCTTCTGTTTCTAAGTGACACTGTGTGCACCAGTGATTGCAGATACACTAACTGACATTTTATCTTTTTTTCTCCCTTCTCTCACATAAATCTTTACTCTTAAGAAAAGAGTGAAAAGGTCAGAGACAATATGGAATAGGTGGAAGAATATTGGGAGACCTTGTAGATTTGCTGTTTTTCTGTTTACTATTTTATTAAATATATCTGCTATTTTCTAACACTTTGGGTCTTGAACAAGCTTCTTTTCTTCTTAGGGCCTCTTTTTCCTTCCATGTAAAACGAAGAGCTTAAACCACGTGATCACAGAGGTCCTTTCCAGTACTTTTATTCTGAGATTTCATGTCATATTTAAGGATTATGAAAATTTCACTTTTTCATTTTTATATAAGTGAATAAGTTACCATTTTACATTTATGCACATTGCTATACCTATTTTTATATTTTGGAGGACAGGCACTATGACTGCTAAAGCAGCACATAATTATGTATATACTTAACAGTGAATGCATTTTGATGATTGTGGTTTATTTTTGTGTTAACTATCCACAGCATTTCAGAAGGCTGTACCTTGAAGCTGGTATTGGCTATGCGTGGTGGACCTATAAATACTAGAAGAGGTAGGCATATGTTAAAAATTATGTATATTACAGCAATTTGACAAAACAATCTTTAAGCCAGTTGGTGTTTTTATGTTTTGCAGTAAGGTTCTCTTTCTGCTATTAGGTTTCAGAAGGACCACATTTGTTTTTCTAGGCATTGTTCTTTAAAGCCCAAATAAACAGAGGCAGGAACTCATATTCCAGAAAGTCTAATGATTTGTGTCAGTCCAGGGAGATTTTAAAATAAACCCCATCAGCCTGGCCAGTGTGGCTCAGTGGTTGAGTGTCTACCCATGCACCAAGAGGTTGCTGGTTCTATTTCTAGTCAGGGCATATGCCCAGGTTATGGGCCCAATCCCCAGCGGGAGGCATGAAGGAGGCGGCTAATTCATGTTCTCCTCGATGTTTCTATCTCTCTCTCCCTCTCCCTTTCTCTCTCTAAAAAATCTATAAAGGAAACAAAATTTTTTAAATAAATAAAATAAAATAAACCTCATCAACATAGGGAAGGGAAATGGGATGGCATAGTACAAATATGTTGTTATATTGTGTTTAGGTTCATTCCAGTCTTGTTGCTTTTTTTTAATCTACTGGTTCTTTAATTCCTGGTATAATGATTTTTATAGAAACTCCCAAGGTATCTGTTAGCCTGCTCTGTGATGTATTTGGGTTTCATGAATATTGTCATGGTCCTGTTGAATCCTTGTTCAGAATGTGGGCAGTCTCTGGGAGTTGACTGACTCACTCACTCACTCACTCACTCACTCACTCACTCACTCATTCAGTAAATACATTTTGAGCATCTACTAGATGTTCAGTGCAATGTTTTTATAAGAGAAAACGTCCCTACTTCATGAAAGTGCCCACAATAAATGTGTAAAGAATTGATGTCATTTCAAGCAGTTGTAAATACTGTGAAGGAAATAGGGTATTGTGATAGAGTCTGAGGACGATTATGGAAGGGCCTTGGGAGAAGGTAATGTGAGCAGAGACTGAATTATTGAGAAAGTTGGGAGTGTTAACATTGGTCCCGGATTCAGGTATGACACGTGAATCCCCACCAGGCTTTCATATTGTTTGAACCTCTTTGACCAGAAGACGGAGGTTAGATAGTGACCGCACTGCTGGCTTGTTTCTTCCACAAGTCAAATTTTATCTTCATGCTTCAAATTTTAGTTAGAGAATTAAGTCATTACCACCTTTGTCCTAACTACATTAGAGGATTTTGTGAGATGTTATTTTGGCTGTTAACTATTTTGGATAGGTAAGAAAAGATGCAAATAATGTTAGAGTTCATTAATTAGCATTCCTAATAACAGTGCTGTCTATTAATTAGACTTATGAAATTGTCCTATGTGATATAAGTTCATGTCTGTAGTATCGATTTGAGGGTAGTTCAAGAACCCTAAGTGTTTCCTGAGTCATTTTTGTAAGTAGAATTATATAGTATTTAATGACGTGAACTCCATTGTATTGTATTTTAGAAAGCTGGTTATTTGTATATATGATTTCTTTTAAACCAGTGTTTTAACTAGAACACCTACTTTTCTTACTAGGACTAATATTGTTTTATATTTATGAGGAGTGTTAGTGCTACAGATTCTGAGTTAAAAAATATATGTATTTTTAAAACTTAAAAAAATTAAAATCAAAGGCATCACTACCCTTTGATAGTTGAAACTTGGTAATACTTTTATCCCTGTAACTTTCTGTGTCTTATTTTTATTAATTGATTGATTTATTTATTTTTTATCTTCACCCGAGGACATTTTGCATTTATCTTCAGATAGAGTGGGAGGGAGAGAGGGAAGAAGAGAGAGAGAAACATCTCTGTGAGAGAGACACATTGAGTGTTTGCCATCACACGACCCCAACCGGGGCAGGGACAAACTGCAACCGAGGTGCATGCCCTTAGCGGGAACCAAACCGGGGAATCTTCCGTCTGCAGGCTAATGCTCTAACCATTGAGAAAAACCTGCCAGGGCCTGTGTCTTATTATTATTTTTTTTGGTACGTACCCCTAGCGGGAACCAAACAAGGGACTCTCTGGTCCGCAGGCCGATGCTCCAACCGCTGAGCCAAACCGGCCAGGGCCTGTGTCTTATTTTTAAATAGAAAACTCAGCACTTAGAAATGGACTGTTTTTTAAATATTTTAAATTAAGGTTTTGTTTTGTTTTATTTTTTCAATTTTTATTAATTTATTATTTATTTTTGTTACAGATGTTTCTCCTTTTTACCCCCTAGACACCCTCCTCCCCTTCCTGCCCCCTCACCCCCCCTAGCATTGTTGTCTATGTCCATTGGTTATGCATATATGCATATAAGTTATTTGGTTTATCTCATCCATTCCCCCAACCCCGTCCTCTGAGGTTTGTCAGTCTGAACCATACTCCTTTCTATGTCTGTTTTGTTCATCAGCTTTTAAATTAAGTTTTTAATAATTTTGCCTTTATTGAATCAATATTTTTAAAATTAAAAGTTTGATGTTGTCTACCTTGCATCATTTAAAACTATGTGAACCCAGATCTAAAACTTCTCTGTATGGCATTTGAGAAACCATATATTTTTTAGCTATTTAGTCTTACTTGAAACTTATGGTTTAGAAAGTACCTTTATCATCTGAGTTCCAGTAATATTTAGCTTTTAAAATAGTTTTTGAGTTAACCATTTTCAAAGCAGCATATAAAATATGTTCCTTTCTAAAACTAAATTTAATCTTAAACTATGTGTACATTGTTTTATATCTAATGAAATCTAAATTATTTTTCTGTTATGAAAATGTGTGCATACATACACGTATGTGTATACACACATTCAATCCCTTGTCTCCCTAAGAAAGGCACATTATGCTAATTTAAATAAGGCTTTCATGTGGCATTAATAATGGCGGTAGCATAATTTTTTATTTCTCATTAATGTAATGTGGAAAATATAGCATTAACTTAAAACTGGTAAGAACTTGTTTTAAAAATGTCTTTTAAGTGTCTGTGGACCAAAGGGTCTCGGATTCGATTCCAATCAAGGGCATGTGCCTAGGTTGCAGGTTCCTTCCCCGGCTCTGGTCATGTGGGAGGCGTCCAATCAATGTGTCTCTCTTGCATCCCCCCCCCCCCCTTCTCACAGTCATTGGAAAAATATCCTCAGGTGAGGATTAACAACAACAAAAATTCTTTTAATATATATGCGTTTTGTGCCTATGAAAGTCAGTCAGATCTTCCAAACATTTTTATAAAATAAGCTAAATTCTATTATATTTCTCTAAAGTTTCTGTGTTTTAGTAGTGGTGGTATTGAATTTAGGATATGGGGACATCTTTAATGTTTTACCTTGTTATTGTCAGAGTTTAATATTCTTATTGCTGTAACTTTTTAAAAGAGTAGTACAGCACTGTGCTTCTGTTAATAAATGAGCACCTGAATGAGAGTCACGGAGTTTGAGAAGAAATTAGTTATGCAGTTTAGGAAAGAGTAAATATTTCTTAATCTTGTCATGAGAATGTCTTTGGGAACTAACTTTTTTATTTTTCTGTAACCATTACTTAGACACCCAAGTGTAGGGTTCGGGGGCTTTTAGAACATTTACCCTATGAGCCAGCAATCTCTTTAGACCCATTCCCGCCACAGGAGCGGAATCTGGCGGCTGTGGACAAGAGCGGGTTGTAATGATGGGTGCAGTGTTGTTCAAACCCGAGGACATCCTCGGGCTTCTAGAGCCCTCCGGAGGGAGGGCTTTGCCCAAGTCCTTGTGCTCTGACTGGACATGTGGATGTACACTAGGACATTTGGGCTCCTGGGAAGGTGTTTTTTTTTTTTTTTTTTTTTTTTTATCCTCACCCGAGGACATTTTTCCATTTTTTGTTCAGGTAGAGTGGGAGGGAGAGAGAGAGAGAGAGAGAGAAACATCGATGTGAAAGGACACATCGAGTGGCTGCCACCTGCACGACTGACCAGAGCCGGGGACAAACTGCAACCAAGGTACATGCCCTTAGCGGGAACCGAACCCGGGTCTCTCAGGACCGCAGGCTGGCGCTCTAACTGCTGAGCCAAACTGGCCAGGGCTGGGAAGGTGTTTTTAACAAACAACATTCTGACCACTACACACATTATGGTTTTAGTACATAAGTGGCCTCCTTGTTTCTGAATTATTGTTTACTTTTAATTACCTAACTGCACATTAAGACAACTCTAGGAATAGGCCTCTATATAAAACCAGAAAGAAGAGGGATTCAGTTGCTTCTTAATTCTAATGTCTCCTAATTATGTGTGTGTTTATTTTTTAATCTAAAGTAAGTGGGATTTATATTGCTTTTAATTATTGATTGTTGGAAGAAATATTGGAAAATATAGGAAGCAGAGGTGTCAAGTGAAAACAATTGAAGATAATTATGTCATAGAGGCAACAAATATACAGACGCTAGTGGTATAGGAAAAGTTCGTGTATCTTTGTACATAACAACACAGTAGTGCATTTCATGTAGTTCAAATTAATACAACATAGGGAGTACTGTATTAATTATAAAAGACCAGAAACTTTTTGAAGAATATCATGTATATATTGTATGTGCAGGATTGTTGTTCAAATTCATCACGTTATGTCCTGTCACTGTACCAAGATGCATAAAATTTGATATTAATTGAAAGCTTATTTATCAATTTTTCCATTTGTAGTTCCTATGGAAGACCCACTTAGGGAGATGGCTGAGTACATGGATTCCAGTCGAGATGAGGTCTGGGAGAAGACCTCCTACAACAAGCACGTTACATTTTTGGTATACCGAGAAGGAGAGCAATTGAATTTCTTCCGGGTAGTAGATAGGGGAGATGGCACTTTAACACCATTATCTGAATCTTTAAGGTAAATAGGTTTTCATTTGCATGTCTCACTTAGAAAAGGAGAATATCATACAATATATTCCCTAAACCTTTATGTTTACCTTGTTTTGTCAAAATAATCTTATTATATTCACAGGACTGACTAAATGTCATGCATTCTCCTCTATTGCTCTGGCCCCAGGTATGTGATTCTGAAATCACCCTTCATATGATTAATACTTAGAGAGTAATTTTTAAAATGGAAATTTCTTTATGGAATAAGATTTTTCATACAAAATATTTATTTCTGTAACATTATGAAACTTTAAGATGCCTAGTAGATTATAGTCTGGTTATAATAGCATTGAACCTAAAGTTGCTATCTTTTTTCAAATTATAACTCTGCTGCTTAAAGGTACATACATCTTCTCTAGTCTTCTTTTTCTACTCTATAAAAGAGAGGTGAATTGTTATATTACTTATAAAATTAGAAGGATACAACCTAAAGGTATTTAACTAGGCAAAACAACAATTACAGAACTGGACAAGGTAACCTATAAGTTTTTGTGCACTCTGTCTTACTGTGGTTCCTTTAAAAAAAAAAATGTTACTGATTTTAGAAAGAAGGGAAAGGGAGGGAGAGATAAAAATATCAATGAGAGAGATACAACTATTGGCTGCCTCCTGCACACTCCCTACTGGGGGATCAAGCCCACAACCCGGGTATGTTCCCTGACTGGGAATCAAACCAGCAAAATCCTGGTGCACAGGATGACGTCTAACCAACTGAGCCACACCAGCCAGGCTTACAATGATTCTTTATTGCCTTTCACTTAAGTCAGTAAATATTAACTGAATTTTTGTAGCCAGTCTACGCTAGGCACTGGGTTATAAAGAATAGTGTTCCTCCCTCATGGAACATGCAATCTTGCTATAAATAGTATCTGTAATATACTGTTGGAAATTGTTATAAAAAGATACCAACAGCCCTGGCCGGTTTGGCTCAGCGGTTAGGGCGCCGGCCTGCGGTCCAGAGAGACCTGGGTTCGGTTCCTGCTAAGGGCATGTGCCTCCGTTGCAGTTTGTCCCCGGCCCTGGTTGGGTCGTGCGGGTGGTAGCCAATCGATGTGTCCCTTTAACATCGATGTTTCTCTCTCTCTCTCTCTCTCTCTCTCTCTCTCTCTCTCTCTCTCTCTCTCTCCCTCTTTCTCCCTCCTACTCTATCTTAATAAAAAAGTGGGAAAATGTCCTCGGGTGAGGATAAAAAACAAACAAACAAACAAAAAAAAGATACCAACATCTCTGGAAAACCAGAGGAAAGGGCCTTCATTTTGCCTGAAAGGTGGGGAGTTAGGGACAATCTCTGAGAAGACACAACTGTAAAGGAGGAGTAGGAGTTTGCCAGACAGATGGTGAAAGGAACAGTATTACAGGTAATTAAATTTAATCCAAAATATAAAAAGCTAGTGGTAAACCATTCATAGAAAAGATAACTTCTAGTCTGGAGAACAGTTTCTGTGGGTCTGGAGTCTAGGCACAGTTCAGCTGGGTTCTCTGCTCAGGGTCCTACAGCTGCAATCATGGTTTTGGCAAAGGTGCACTCTTACCTGGGGCTTGATTAGGGAAGAGAGTCTGCTTTCAGGTTCTTTCACACTGATGTCATAATTCATTTCCTGGGAGTTATGTGATTCAGGGTTGTGGTTTTTGTGTGTGTTTTTTAATCCTCACTTGAGAATATTTTTACATTAATCTTCAGATAGAGCTGGAGGGAGAGAAGGAGGAAGAGAAAGAGAGAGAGAGAGAGAGAGGGAGGGAGAGAGAGAGAGAGAGAAACATCAATGTAAGAGAGACACATCAATTGGTTGCCACCTGCACAACCCCAACCGGGGCTGGGGACAAACCACAACCAAGGCACGTGCCCTTGGCCGAAATTGATCTCGGGACTGTTTGGTTTGTGCGCAATGTTCTTACCGCTAAGCCATATTGACCAGGGCAAGGGTCATGGTTTTTAGCTGGCTATTGGCTTGAGGCTGCTCACAGTTCCCTTTTGATGAACTCATAGTCAGTGGATTTGGGGCCTAAATTACATCTGCAAAATTCTTTTACTTTTGATCTATTCTGTTGGCTAGACGTAAATCATAGGTCACACCCACACTGAAGGGAAGGAGAGTATACAGGGTGTGAGCATCAGGGATCAGGAATCATGGGGTTTCCTTTAGGATTCTGGCCACCACAGAGTGTTGTGTGGAACAAAAAATAGACTCCTTCTTTGTGGCAACAGAGAGCAGACTGTAACAAATGGGTGCACCAAGACTTCTGGTCAGGATGGCAGATAGGTAAACGTGGTATCGCGTCCTCCCACAACCACATCAAAGTTACAACTAAACTACAGAACAACCATCATTCAAAACCACCTGAAATCAAGCTGAATGGAAATCCTACACCTACGGAATTAAAGAAGCAGCCCCATCGAGACTGGTAGGAGGGCGGAGATGCAACTGGCTGGTCCCACACCCACGTGTGGCGGATAAAAATCATGAGGACACCTTGGCTGGGAAGGTACTCCCTGAGGACTGAGGGGTCCCTGTCCCACACCAAGCACCCTGCTCAGGGTTCCATTGCCAGGCAGAGAAGTCCCCATAACTTCTGGCTGGAAAAACCAGCGGGAACTAAGGCTCAGGGAGGCTGAGGCGGCTGGAGCACCAGGCATCTCCTCTTAAAGGGCCCATGCACAGACTTACCCGCACTCTCTCCCTCTAAGCTTGGAGGGGAGGCAGCTTGAGGGGCACCCGAGACATACTGGGAAGAACTGAGCTGTTTGGCATTGGAGCGAGGGCTGGAGAGGCGGCTTTCTCTGGGACACACTGCTGTCAGAGGTCCTTTGTTCCTTTGGTGAGCCCTTCCCTGGGGCGGCAGACAGAAGCCATATCTGGGACTCTAGCAACCTGGCTCACACTGTTTACCCCGCTCCTGTGATTCCCTGAGGTCCCACCCCACCCAACTTTCAGGCCCACCCAAGCTGTTGCCAGTTGCTTTACCATAGGATTGGCCTGTCTCAGATCCTGCTTCAGGTTTTCCTAAATTCTTTCAAACAAGCAGCATCTGGTCTCAGATAGTCCCATACCACTCGTTAAGTAACACATAGACACAAACACAGGGAGGCAGCCAAAATAAGGAGACAAAGAAACAGGTCCCAAATGAAAGAACAGAACAAAACCCCAGGAAAAGAACTAAGCCAAATGGAGATAAGCAACCTAACACATGCTGATTTCAAAATACTGCTTATAAGGATGCTCAATGCACTTAGTGGGAACCTCAGTGAACTTAGTGAGGGCCTCAAGAACATAAAAAAGGACCAGTCAGAAATGAAGGAGGCACTAACTGAAATAAAGAATAATTTACACAGATTCAAGAGTAGAGTAGGTAAAGCCAAGAAGCAAACCATCGATTTGGAATATAAGGAAGCAAAAAACACCCAATCAGAACAGCAAAAAGAGAAAAGAATCCAAAAAAATGAGGATAGTGTAAGGAGCCTCTGGGACAACTTCAAGCGTGCCAACATTCGCATCTTGGGGGTGCCAGAAGGAGGAGAGAGAGAACAAGAAATCAAAAACCTATTTGAAAAAATAACGGCAGAAAACTTCCCTAACTTGGTGAAGGAAACAGACATACACATCCAGGAAGCACAGAGAGTCCCAAACAAGATGAACCCCAAGAGGCCCACACCAAGACACATCATCATCAAAATGCAAAAGGTTCAAGACAAAGAGAGAATCTTAAAAGCAGCAAGAGAAAAGCAGTTAGTTACCTACAAGGGAGTTCCCATTAGACTGTCAGCTGATTTCTCAAAAGAAACTTTGCAGGCCCGAAGGGAGTGGCAAGAAATATTTAGAGTGATGAAAAGCAAGAACCTACAACCAAGTAGGTTCTGCAACTGTGTCCTGCAAAGCTGTCATTTAGAATCGATGGCCATAGAAAGAGTTTCCCAGACAAGAAAAAGCTAAAGGAGTTCATCACCACCTAACCATTATTATATGAAATGTTGAAGGGTCTTCTTGAAGAAAAAGATAAAGTACGTATATGAACAAAGAAAATGGCAATGAACACATAGCTATCAACAATGGAATCTACAAACAAAATGAACAGGCAGAACAGAAACATTCTTATAGATACAGAGAACATTTTGTTGGTTGCCAGATGGGAGGAGGGATGGGGGAATGGGTGAAAAAGGTAAAGGGATTAAGAAGTACAAATGGGTTGCTAGACTGACAAACCTCAAAGGGAAGGGGGTTGGGAAGAAATAAACCAAAGAACTTATATGCATATATGCATAACCAGTGGACACAGACAACAGTGTGGGAAAAGGCAGGAGGGGGTGGGAGTGAGGAAGAGGGGTCAATGGGGGTAAAATGAGGAACATTTGTAATACATTCAACAATAAAGATTTAAAAAAAAAAAAATGGATGCACCAAGGGATCGCCAGTTCGATTCCCGATCAGGGCACATTCCCAGGTTGTGGGCCAAATTCCCAGTTGGGTGGCATGCAGGAGGTGGCCAATTGATGTTCTCTCTCATTGATGTTTCTGTCTCTTTCTCCCTCCTTCTTCCTCTCTCTGAAATCAATAAAGATTTTGCCCTGGCCAATTTGGCTCAGCAGTTAGAGCATCAGCCTACGGTCTGGAGAGACCCAGGTTCAGTTCCCTTTAAGGGCACATACTTCAGTGGCAGTTTGTCCCCGGCCCTGGTTGGGTTGTGTGGGTGACAACCACTCAATGTGTCCCTTTCACGTTGATGTTTCTCTCTCTCTCCCCCTCCCACTCTATCTGAACAAAATATTGAAAAATGTCCTCGGGTGAGGATGAAAAAAAAAGTCAATAAAAATTTTAAATCATTAAATATATATATATATATATTTTTTTTTTCCTTAAATTTACATTGACAAGATGAATTTGTTGTTTTATCATTAGCAGCATCTATAGTTTCTATTGCACGTGGAGTGTTTTTAGTCATTGGTCAGGTATCAGGTACATAACAATAGTAATTACTGTTTTATTTGCAGTGGTGGTTCGGTGTATAATTTGTATACTGATGAGGATGAAGAAGTTGAGCCTTCTCCTTCTGGGCAACAGATAATTGAAAATTCAATAACTATGAATAAGATGAAGCTGCTGAAAGCTAAGATGGAGAACATGAATCTCAGCAAAAAGGTGAAGCTGTACGCACTTGGCCAGGCCTTTTCCTAGTTTATCCCTGCAGAGCTCACAATATTGATGTCTGCTGGTAATTGTGAAAAATTATTTATAAAATATTATTCATCTCAAGTTTTTGGCCTCAGTAATTTATTGAGACATTAGAAGTGATGAATTGTTTTTCATGGATTAGCAACAAATCTAATGTGATTACACTGTACTTAAAATAATTTATGCTTAAAAAATTTCATAGTTCTAGAGCTAAGGATAATAACAGATAGCTTAATCTTAGTTATTTTTTATTTTATTGATTTATTTTATTTTTGTTACAGATGTTTTTCCTTTTTTACCCCATTGACACCCTCCTCCCCATCGCCTCCACCCCGTCCCCAGCTTTGTTGTCCATGTCCATTGGTTATCCATACATGCATATAAGTTCTGTGGTTTATGTCTTCCCACCTCCCAACACCCCCTCTTCTGAGGGTTGTCAGTCTGTACCCTACTTCCGTGTTTCTGGGTCTACCCTATTCCTCAGACTGTTATATTCATTATATTCCATATACAAGTGAGATCATGTGGTAGTTGTCTTTTTCTGCTTGGCTTGTTTCACTTAGGATAATACTTTCCAGGTCCCTCCATGTCATCTCAAAGGATAAGAGATCTTTCTTTCTTACCGCTGCATAGTACTCCTTGTGTATATGTACCACTGCTTTTTTATCCATTTGTCAACTGATGGATATTTGGGGTGTTTCCAGGTCTTAGCTATTGTAAATAGTGCTGCTATGAACATGGGGGTACATATATTCTTTCTGATTGGTGTTTCAGGCTTCTTAGGGTATATTCCTAGAAGTGGGATCACTGGGTCAAATGGAAGTTCAATTTCTAATTTTTCGAGGTAATACCATATTCTTTTCTATAGTGGCTGCACCAGTCTGCATTCCCACCAGCAGCGTACTAGAGTCCCCTTTTCTCCACACCCTCGCCAACACTTGTTGTTTGATGATTTGTTGATGGTGGCCATTCTGACAGGTGTGAGGTGATACCTCATTGTTGTTTTAATTTGCATCTCTCTGATGATTAGTGATGTTGAGCATTTCTTTATATGTCTCTTGACCATTTGTATGTCCTGTTTAGAGAGGTGTCTATTTAGTTCCTCTGTCCATTTTTTAATTGGGTTCTTTGTCTTCCTTTTGTTGAGGTGTATGAGTTCTCTATATATTTTGGAAATTAACCCCTTATCTGATGTATCATTGACAGTGATGTTCTTCCATGCAGTGGGTTGCTTTTCCATTTTGGTGGTTGTTTCTTTTGCTGTGCAGAAGCCTTTTAGTTGATGTAGTCCCATGTGTTCATTTTCTCCTTTGTTTCTGTTGCTTTAGGTGATGTATCAGTGAAAATTCTGCTGCGTATGATGTCCGAAATTTTATTGCCTACATTTTCTTCTAGAATTTTTATGGATTCACAGGTCACATTTAAGTCTTTTATCCATATTGAGTTTATTCTTGTGTATGGTGTAAGTTGATGGTCTAGTTTCATTTTTTTGCATGTAGCTGTCCAATTTTCCCAACACCATTTAGTAAAGAGGCTGTCTTTACTCCACTCTATGCTCTTGCCCCTTTTGTCAAATATTAATTGAGCATCCATTTTTTTTTTTTTAAATATAATATTGCTTTGGGTTCATTTCTGGGTTCTCTATTCTGTTCCACTGGTCTATATGCCTGTTCTTGTGCCAGTACCAGGCTGTTTTGATTACAGTGGCTTTGTAGTATAACCTGATATCTGTATTGTGATCCCACCTACTTTGTCCTTCTTTTTCAAAATTGCTATGGCTATTCAGAGTCTTTTTTGGTTCCGTATGAACTTTTGAAGTATTTGTTCTAGTTTCGTGAAATATGTCATTAGTATTTTGATGGGGATTGCACTGAATCTATAGATTGCTTTGGGTAATATGGACATTTTAATTATGTTAAATCTTTCAATCCATGAACAAGGTATGTGCTTCCACATTTTAATGTCTTCCACTATTTCTTTTTCAATGTCCTGTAGTTTTCTGCTAATAGGTCCTTTACTTCTTTGGTTAAGTTTATTCCTAGGTATCTTAATTTTTTGCCGTGATGATAAATGGGAATGTTCTTTTAGTTTCTCTTTCTGTGAGTTCATCATTGGTGTATAAGAATGCCATCAATTTCTTGACGTTAATTTTGTATTCTGCTACATTACCAAATTCATTTATTAAGTCTAGTAGATTTTTGATGGAGTGTTTAAGGTTTTCTATGTATAATATCATGTCATCTGCAAATAATGACAGTTTCACTTTCTCTTTTCCAATTTGGATCCCTTTTATTTTTTTCTTCCTGTCTGATTGCTGTGGCTAAGACTTCCAGTACTATGTTAAGAAAGAGTGGCGAAAGTGGACATCCCTGTCTTGTTCCTGTTCTTAATGGAAATATTTTTAGTTTCTGCCCATTGAGTATGATGTTGGCTGTAGGTCTTTCATATATGGCCTTTATTATGTCGAGATATGATCCCTCTATTCCCACATTGCTGAGTGTTTTTATCAGAAATGGATGCTGGATTTTGTTGAATGCTTTTTCAGCGTCTATTGATATGATCATATGGTTTTTAGCTTTCCTTTGTTTATGTGGTGTATCACATTTATTGATTTGCGAATATTGTACCAGCCTTGCATCCCTGGGATGAATCCCACTTGGTCATGGTGAATAATTTTTTTGATGTATTGCTGGATCCAATTTGCTAGTATTTTGTTCAGGATTTTGGCGACTGTGTTCATCTGGGATACTGGCTTGTAGTTTTCTTTCTTTGTAGTGTCTTTTTTCTGGTTTTGGAATTAGTTATGCTGGCCTCATAAAACAAGTTTGGAAGTGTTCCTTTCTTCTTGAATATTTTGAAATAGTTTGAGGAGAATGGGTGTTAGTTCTTTTTTAAATGTTCAGTAAAACTCCCCCATGAAGCCATCTGTGCCTGGGCTTTTGTTTGCTGGGAGAGTCTTGATTACCTCTTCAATTTCCTTAGATGTTATTGGTCTGTTCAAATTTTCTATCTCTTCCTTGTCCAGTTTTGGGAGACTGTGTGTTTCTAGAAATTTGTCCATTTTGCTTAGATTGACGAATTTGTTTCCATATAATTATTATACTTGATAGTAGCCGTTAATGATCTTTTGTATTTCTGTGGTGTCAGTTGTTACTTCTCTTTCATTTCTGATTTTGTGTATTTGGGTTCTCTCTCTTTGTTTCTTGGGTGAGTCTAGCTAAGGGTCCATCAATCTTGTTTATCTTTTTGAAAAACTAGCTCTTTGTTTCATTGATCCTTTGAATCGTTTTTTTTGGTTTGTTTGTTTGTTTTTTTAATCCTCACCCGAGGACATTTTTCGATATTTTGTTCAGATAGAGTGGGAGGGAGAGAGAGAGAGAGAAACATCGATGTGAAAGGGACACATCGAGTGGTCGCCACCCACACGACCCAACCAGGGCCGGGGACAAACTGCAACCGAGGTAGCTGCCCTTAGCATGAACCGAACCCGGGTCTCTCCAGACCGCAGGCCAATGCTCTAACCCCTGAGCCAAACCGGCCAGGGCCTTTGAATCGTTGTTTTGGTCTCTGTCATTTATTTCTGCTCTGATCTTTACCATTTCCTTCCTTCTACTTGCTCTGGTGTTTTCTTTTTGTTTGCTTTCTAATTCTTTAAGTTGTGAGGTTAGATAGTCAATTAGAAATTTTTCTTGTTTCTTGAGGTAGGCCTGTAGTGCTATGAACTTCCCTCTCAGAACTGCTTTTCTGCATCCCATAGATTTTGTGTTGTGTGTTCATTTTCATTGGTTTCCAGGAAGTTTTTAATTTCTTCCTTGATCTTCTCGGTAACCCATTCATTGTTTAATAACATGCTATTTAGCCTCCATGTGTTCAAATGTCTTTGCATGTTCTTGTTGCAATTGATTTCTAGTTACATGCCAATGTGATCTAAGAAGATGCTTGATATGATTTCAATGTTCTTTTTTTTAAATCCTCACCCGAGGACATTTTTCCATTTTTTGCACAGATAGAGTGGGAGGGAGAGAGAAGAAGAGAGAGAGAGAGAGAGGGAAACATCGATGCGAAAGGGACACATCGAGTGGCCGCCACCCACACAACCAACCAGGTCCGGGGACAAACTGCAACCAAGGTACATGCCCTTAGCGGGAACCGAATCCGGGTCTCTCCGGACTGCAGGTGGATGCTCTAACCGCTGAGCCAAACCGGCCAGGGCGATTTCAATGTTCTTGAACTTGTAGAGATTTAGTTTGTGTCTTATCATGTGGTCTATTTTGAGAATGTCCCATGTGCACTTGAGAAGAATGTGAATTCTGCTTTTTTGGGGTGTAATTTTCAGTAGATATCTATTAAATCCATTTGGTCTAGTGCTTCATTTAGAGTCTCTGTTTCCTTGCTAATTTTTTGTCTAGAGGATCTATCCATGGTGTCAACGGGGTGTTGAAGTCCCCTGCAATGATTGTATTGCTGTTGATTTCTCCTTTGAAGTCCTCCAGAAGATTTTTAATATATTTTGGTGCTCCTATATTAGGTGCATATATGTTTATCAAGGTTTTATCTTCCTGTTGGGTAGATGTTTTCAATATTATGTAGTGGCCTTCTTTGTCTCTAGTTATGGTCTTCATTTTGAAATCTTTTTTTATCGGATATGAGTATTGCTATCCCAGCTTTTTTTGCTTTCCATTTGCTTGGGAGATTTTTTCCATCCCTTCACTTTCAACCTATGTGAGTCTTTTGTTGTGAGGCGGGTCTCTTGTAAGCAACATATATGTGAGCCATGCTTTCTTATCCAATCAGCTACTCTGTGTCTTTTTATAGGAGCATTCAGTCCATTTACATTTAAGGTGATTATTGATATGTACTTATTTATTGCCATTTTTGTTTAATTTGGTCATATTTTTCTTCCTATTTCTCCTGCTAATTACAGCAGTCCTTTTAACATTTCTTGCCGTGCTGGTTTGGTGTTCATG